TCACTAATACCAATACCTACTTCCAGAGTTATGTACATTGTCTTAATCTTAAAAACAGGAAAGGACACTGGAAGCAGGCCATATTAAAAATATAAACATATGGGGGGTGATTTACTAACCTAAACACACGCACGCACTAGGTGCGTGTGATTTTTACACAGCAAAACGTATTTATCAGCCAAAAAGTCTCTAAAAGCATATTTCCACTAATGCCATATATGGAAAAATCATGCACATGATGCATATATAATGCTGCTTCACAGTTTAGACAAAAATGGTTAGCTCATGCATTTACATTCCTGCATTCATCAACGCAAGCAACACAATGTAGAGCTAATTTACACAACATCACCTTGCAATTCATGCAGGGCTTTGCACAACACACCTGCTGGGTGTCTACACACTACAAAGGTGTCTAGATTCCACCAATAGATCATGCTGGGAGGGAACACACTACAGAGGTGTATACTTGTTCGTGGCATGTTTATAAGGTTAGTAAATCAACCCCATGGAGTCTATTTTGCCCGATAATTTTTTCACAGCTGGATTTTTATCACAGTTTGACTACTGAGATCATTTGCCGAGTGTGGCAGAAAGGGCGACTGAATACTATTGCAGACAGATTATCTATGGCTAGATCCATTTATAATAAACCGCAAGCCAGATTCAGCGTGAACAGTACTTTGTTACAACTGTGTGCTCCTGACATTATCTGCTAGTTTGTAGATTTCATAGTGTAACTGTAAATCTATACGTTTGGGTTATGTCTTCAAGTAAAAGTAAGTACTGAGAATATGCTGCATGTAAGCAAACAAATAAATAAACAAATAAATACTAAAACTTTGGAAAACGTAAATGACTCTCTTTGAATTATGGATTTTATATTCTTGTACCCAGGAGGATTCATTCACCATCTGTGGCAACACTAAAAAGCTACCTTTTGACTACCTTCTGGCTACCTCCTGACTACCTTCTGGCTACCTTCTAAGTGCTGCCCATTCTCAATCAGTACAATGTCTGTATTCCTTAGTATTCACCAAAACAGCTGAGGGACCACAAGATGAAGTTAATTTCATGCCACCAGTAGAACGTGCTGCTTAAACAAAAATGTTATTTTGCCTGGTAAGAGAACTCACAGTAATACCCAACATATTTCTCTGGATGCAATTGCTGAAAGTCAAAAGTCTTAAGTGGGCTGCATTTTATCACAACATTTAAGCCTGCCATATTGAATAACAGGTGTACACAAATTTGTTGGTACCCTCTCTTGAAAACAGAAGAACCCCCAATTTTCTCTAAAATATCTTGAGACTGACCAAATAAATTTACATCCATGATTGTTTATTCCAGATTTAATAAAAATCAGACACTGCTTTTGAGCTATGATTCAACAGAATATTTCAAATAGTAAAACAAATGGAAATGGTATAGACAATTCGTATAGCCAACTAAAACCAGCATGGAGCAAAAGACACAATGATTCATCCTTTTGATCCTGATCAATTTAATTCAATATGTTGGCCAATATATACTGTAGCCCACTTAAGACTTTTGGTTGCATTGCTAGTTATTATATCAAATATAAATGGCCAGTTTACATAAACAATGACAATTGTATTATATGTCTATGATTGTGTGACTGCAATTATTATCTCAGACTATTCATTATAGAAGCATACCCGGGGTTTGAATAAAACAAAAGAGTATTTTTTTCTTATTGTGAAGTGGTCTTGTGTTCATTTCAAATACCCAGTCTTGTGCAGTGGAACTTTAAAACACACAATTGGATGTTTAGGTTCATTTTATCAAGTGAAAAGCAGTACCTTAGTAAATCAAGACTTTAGAGCTGTGGTTGTCAATTGCAAAGCATAGGGGACCTAAGGTATGGCCTCTGACATCACCAAATGGTCGCATAAAATATATGTAAACCTGGAGAGAGATGTCAGAGATTGCAAATACACTAGAGAGTATGGTCAGAGACTGAGGACACACTAAAAGAAATATTGGTCAGAGACTGCGGACACACTAGGGGAAATTATGATAAGAGACTGCGGACACACCAGATGTAACGATGGAAAGAGACTGCAGACACACCAGAGGAAATGATGGTCAGAGATTGTGGACACGCTGGGTTTGGTCAGAGACTGGAGACATGCAGCAGAAGATAGTGAGAGACTGGAGAAATTGTAGTTATCTCTAATAGTAATTCTTTATGCTTCAAGAGTCTGTGTCCACCTCTTTGATGACATCATGCTGAGTGGCAGCTAGTGGAGCACAGAAAAAGAATGGCTGCAGTTACATAATATGTACGTCTTTAGAAAGATGTACTGAGCTCCATCCAAATGTTGGCAAAAAAATTCTGATAATTTGACTTATCTCCGCGGTAAGACCCATCAGTGCCTCTTTATCTATTTTAGATAAATATGTACTAGTGTGTACACAATATTTTTACAGCAAACCATTTATCACAGGCAGTTTTTTCCTAGGCAATAATTTTTGTTTCTATTTTTATGCTATGCATTTTGTTTGTTGGTGAACATTTTGGTAATGGAAACCTGTCTTCAAAAAATGATATATGCTGCCATTGCTGACATCGCTTTCTGTGCTAGTTCCCTGGCTGTTATACTGATGCTGTAGCTTCAATGATTTCTAATTCACTGGGCTGGTACAAATACTAGCATAAGCAGTTCTAACTTTTCTCTGACTTCATTTATACAGGCTTATACAGGCTATGATAGGTAACTATCATTCCAAGTCTAGCAACGAAAGCCTGCATCTTTCTCTCATCACAGGTACACAGGGCAGCCATCAGAAATTTCGGGGCCCCTTACACAACTTTAGGCCTACCCCCCGCACTGCCGCCACACTGAGCAAGTCACATTAGTCTCTGCACAGGGGAGCTTACACTCTAATGTCCTCCCACAGTCACATCAGTCTCTGTACAGAGGAGCTAACACTCTAAAATTTTTGATATTGTAGTTTTTTGAGGTTTCGCGCATACGCGCAATTTTAAGGCTTAACATGTTTGCTGCCTATTTACCCGACGTGACCCCGCCTTTTATATTTTACCAAAAAATTGGGTAATAATAAATGTTCTATAGCCGACGATCGGTTGTATGGCGTGATTTTTTCGAGTGCCGTTGATTTTTCGAGTGCCGCCGCCCCCACACCCCCCTCCTGACCCCTCACCTTCAATCCCAGGATCCGCTAGCCCATCTGCGGCCCGGGACTGGCTCGGGAGGGTGTCAGGAGGAGGAGGGAGGGATATCAGCTCCTTGCTGATCTCCCTCCGTGCTGTGAATGCAGAAGTGATGTGTATTACATCACTTCCGCATTCACCTGTCAGTCATCTGGTTGCTATAGCCAGAGAGAAGAAGCTGGTGAAGCAGATCTCTGCTTCATCAGCTTCTTTTGGGGTCGCCAGGTGACATTAGGGGTCCTATAACGTAAATGCGCGTCCAGTGCACCAGCGCGCGAAAACTACAATTGCGCTACACATGTTACATATCGCCGCGAACGTCGGAGTGAGAGCAACAATTTTAGTGCCATCAATCATTTTGAATTTTTTTTGTTACTTTAATTTTTAAAAAAACATTTTGTGGAGACATCAGGGGTCTTGCGGACCCCTAGTGTCACCTAGGGACCCCAAAGAAGCTGATGAAGCCGAGATCCGCTTCACCAGCTTCTTCTGTCTCTAGGAGCCGGAGAATGTGCCCAGTGACATCAGAAGTGATGAAATGCACCTCACTTCCGATGTCCAGTGATCGTAGGAGAGATCCGCGGCTAGAAGCTGCTGATCTCTCCTCCGATCTGTCAGGGGAGACCCTCTACACCGGTCCCAGGCTCACACGAGGGACAGATGAGCCCGGGAACCTGATGGCAGCACCGGCAGCTGCAGAGGGGGACACGGCGCCGTATTGTAAAAGCGATCCGGCGTCTATACAGGCGCCGGATCAGGCGCCAGCAATGATGGTTAAAAAAAAAATACACACACGTAATGAAACACACATATCACACACACTCATTAAAAAACACACACATAGCTTTATTAAAAAAAGAAATGAATTGCACACACATTAAAAAACACACAATAAAACACACTCTCACAACTAATAATAGTTCATTAAAAATGTCCCCCTCTCCTGCTTACCTGTTTTGCAGGAAGGGGGGCTGCATCCCTGGGCTTCCGTGAAGAATCAGTGTGCTCTGCACTCTGTCTGGTGCAGACCATACTAATAGCTCCCTGCATGTTAGCAGAGGCCCCACGAGGGAGCGATCAGTATGGTCTGCATAAGCAAGAGATGCAGATCATACTGATTCCCCACCAGGGAATGATTTTCATTTAATATATTGCAGTTTCGGCAATATATTAAATGGGATATGGGCACTTGCCAGGTTTAAAGATGGCTGTCGCTACTCGCGGTGGCCATCTTTAAAAACCTAATGTGCAGTGGACACAGGGGAGACACCGGAGGCTCGCACAGCACCCGAGGATTCCTCCGGTGCTGCGGGGGCCTGGTCGCCTTCAGTCACCTGTACGGCCGTCACCCAGGTAAGGTTGCGGGCCCCTGAGGCTGGCCGGGCCCCTTACTTGAGTGTCGGCCGTACCCCCCTGATGACGGCCCTGCAGGTACACATTAATGCTCTAGATGACATGTGCACTAGAACAAATGTTTGCATTTCTGGTACTGTTCTAAAAGAAGAACTTTATACATTGCTAACTCTTTATATACAAATATAAATAATATGAAGTTTTATTAGGAAAAAAAGAGGCTCTTATCATGATTAGTGTACACGACAAAAAACATGCTGCATATAGTGTATAGATCAATAGATAGGTATATAGATAGATAGATAGATAGATAGATAGATAGATAGATAGATAGATAGATAGATAGATAGATAGATAGATAGATTTTTCAACTGGAAAGATCATGTCAACCTCTATGGTAACTATTTAATTTCTGTCATTTATGAAACAATATGCACTGGTTACCAACCTGTCTATGGCTGTACTTGTTGGCATACTTCTCCCAAAACCTCGAACTCCCATTTGACGAAAGTAGGGTACACAGGAGAGGTTTGCAGCAATTACTGCTAAGGAATCAGAAGGGTTCACAAAGAATCCATTTTGTCCTAAAATCATGTATCTGTCCTGAAACATATGTATAAATGAAATGTTTTAAAGCTAAGTAATATTAAACCAGCTTTGTATCAACTCTCAAGTCAATATACTAACCAATAAATGTGCATATAGTGCTTTTATGTCTTGCAGTTGAATAAATACCACCTTCGCAGCCAGGGACGGATTTGCCACAAGGCCAACCAAGGCCCGGCCTCGGGGCAGCAGGGAGTAGAGGGGCATCAGGGGTGTGGAATTCCTATCTCCCGATGCCCGGGCGGGTAGTTGTTTTATACATTTAGCACTGCTTTGGGCAAGCAGCACTAAATGTACAGCAGGAAAGCCACCGCTTGATTTGTACATGTGATCTCGGTGACATTGTATGCAGCCTGCAGATCTGCCATTCTCCATGGGGAGGGCCTGGCCATGGGGCAGCAGAGAGAGTAAATCCGGTCCTGTTCGCATCTACTCACCCTCTGTACCATCATCCTAAATCTAATCATGTGTTTAATTTTACTGTTAATCTAAGCTAGCATTGTCGCTGCCTTCTATCCACCTTTATCATCCTTAGCATCCATTTTTGGTATTTCTTTATTGGATCATACATTAGCTTGTATAGATAGAGCAGATTCTGGTAAACAATTTTAGACACTATAGTCCCCCTCTCAGATGTACTTGCATAGACTGGTATATTAAGGTTAGGTTGAGGGTTTAAAATATAATGGACCAATCCCCCTATGTCCTCAACTTTGTTGTATCTGTAAGAAATTTTTCCAAAGCCACATTTTCTCCACTTTATGTTAGTTCGAGACAACCCATAGACATAGGATAGCATCTTGAATAATTGGACAAGTTGAATGTTTGGTCTTCTAAAAAATATTGTTCACGCCAAAGATCTTTTTGAAGCAAACAATACCCCCAATTGAATTTGTTTGGCTATTTAATGTCAAATCAGTTATCTTTCTGGTTGTCTTTAGATATTGAAATGATCGCACACAGAACACATGCACAATTTGACGACGAGTCGTTGTTGTCATGGATAACGCTGGACGTCATGATTGACCCTGAATTACATCTCTGGATAAATTTTTGGGAATTTTTTTTTTTTTTTAAATAAAGGACTTGTCAAAAATGTTTGTGGTGTTTTTATCTCAATTAAAAGGAATTTTTACAAAACTATGGTCTTTTTATTTACATTTTTACTTTAACCTTTTAGTGAATGAGTAGGGGGGCAGCATCTGGGTGCCCCCTTTATTACAGGGGTACTCCGATGCAAATAAGCCAACCTGCCCGCAGACCACCACAACCAATGCCCCAGGGATTGTGGGGAAGAGGCCCTTCTCCCCATCGGCACAAGGTGCTTTTCCAGGGGGGACCCTGGAAAAGTATCCTCCAAGTGCTGAGGGCATGTGGCCTGGTATGGCAGGATGGGGGGAGGGCGATCGCTCATCCCCTCCCTTTCCTGCCCTGCCTGGCCTGTGCTTAGATTAAGGGTCTGGTTGGAAATTTTAGGGGGGACCCCACTCCCCCCCCCCATTTTTGGGGGTGGGGTTCCTCATTAAAATTGCTACCAGACCTAAAGGGCCTGGAATGACTTTGGGGGGGGAACCCTACGCATTTTTTTTAACTTGGGGTCCCTCCCACCATTCCTGGATCATGAGAGGGACGCTGTTTTTTTTTTCTTTTAATAACGTGCCTTTTTTTTTATTCTGCTCGCTACCTCCGAGGTAGCGAGCATAATCGCGAGTAGAATATAGAGATTCCTGCAGGGATTCCCCCGTCCCCTCTCTGTTTCTCCAGCACTCATTGGAGGGATAGATAGGGGAGGGCACAGCTGGCTCTGACTCTAGAGAGGCAGAGGCAGTTGTCAATCAGGCAACAGTGTTGATCCCGACAACATTATTGGGATATTTCCTGGGTGCAGTGTGGCTCTGCGCTGTCAGCAAATAGCAGGCAGTAGCCCACTACATGCTGACTTTGAATCAGAGGAGTACATTAGTAAGTGTACTCCTTTGACCCAAAAGAGGACTAAAGCCAAAAAAAGACTTATACCCTCTCCCATCCAGCAGTCCTTATTTCTTTCCCCCCTCCACTGCGCACCCAGTATGAAGAATTTATATTGTATATGCTATCTATTCTAGTCCTGGGACCCCCCTTCCTTTAACCTCTAGTTGGAGAATATTGTTGGCCTTCTGTCAGGAGCAATGAACGCTTACAGGGTTATTCACAAATGGGGGAAAGGGTTTGGAAAAGTGAACAATCTAGGCCAGAATAGCTGATTTGGAAAAATTCAATTCAGCTCACTTTCCAAATCAGCTATTTTGGCCTAGATTGTTCATTCTACTGCCTTCTCCAAACTCTTCACCCTTTTGTGAATAACCCTGATAGTGTCTGGCACCCACAGCAGCCAGGAACACAACAGGAAACCTTATCTACAGCACTGCAAGTCTGACACAAATGAAAATCTGTAATTTACATTGCTTACCATGACCTTGGCTGCATAGGTTGGTTGAAGCATCTATGCTTGAAGCTTAGACAACGCCTTTTTGTTCACAAAAAACACTACCTAGGAGCTTGGTGGTCAAACTATACATCCTAGACACTATGGGGACAAAATCAAAATATGGGCTTCATTTTAGGTGGGTTATACTAGGAATAGTCCTGCCTAGAACCACCGTCCAGGTTGAGGTCACAATTCAATAAGGAAAATAAGACTCCTTGTTGTTGATTTACTAGACAAAAAGGCAGAAGCGAATTTTCACATTGCAAGGGAATTTTCTCTTAGCCTAGTGAATGTGATGAAAATTAAGCATACCCAATAATGTGAAAGGAAAATAAAAAACATAGTTTTTGATTGAACCTGATTGGATCAAGTCAGCAGAGCATTACCTCATTCACTAAGCTAAGGGGAAATTCCCTTGCAAAGTGAAAATTATCTTGCAAAGTGAAAAGTCTATGTTCCTTTAGGAAATCAACTCTGTAGTCTCTACCCATACCTCCATCCCTAACATGGTATCACTGCAGATGATACTATGCGGTGGTGTATGTGTAATATGGGGTGGTGTGCCCCATCTTGGCCAGTGACACAGCTCTGCCATCTCAGACTTTCCATTCAACTTTGCCGAGCCAGCACTGGAGATCACATGACTATACATTTTGGTGTTAAATAAATGACAGAACACTTGGGGGAATTTATTACAACTGGAGCAGACAGAATCTGTTTACTATGGACAACTACTCTGTCTGCTCCAGTTTTGATCAATTCCCCCCACTGTTCTGGATTCAAACAATCAAACTTTATTGCTGAATGAGGGAGTGTAGTTGACAGAGCAAAACTTGTCTGAAAATCAGCTTAAAGGTGGCCATACACTCTACAACCATCGCAAGACCTTAGTCTTGCGATGGTTGTACAGGGATTAAAAAAACGTACGATCTGCCTATCTTGGACAGGCAGATCGCACTCTCGATCATCGCAAGCCCGCCCCCCTGAGGGGCGGGCTTCCGATGACCGCAATGCTGAACGGGCAGTGTGTGCGTGCGCACACCGTCCCGTTCGGCATTTGTCTTCTGAGCACCGTTCTAACCAGCCTAGAATCGTACGATTCCCGGCTGGTTTTCGAACATGCTGGTTCGACGGAAGACGTGCGACCGTACAGTAGAAACGGTCGCACGTCTCCGTTCACACTGCTCGATTCTCGTACGATCGCGGGATTTCCCGCGATTCTCGTATGAGAATCGAGCAGTGTATGGGCACCTTTAAGCTACATCTGAGGATGAATGTGTTTTAAGCTCCAAAAGTGTTTGCACATGAGCTTGAGGAATGGAGATCACCTTCTCTGGAACAGCTGTGTATTCAAAGCTGGATGGGGCATCATGAATATCAAAGTACAAGTGCACTTTTTAAATTAAACTTAAGAACCACTGATCCTCCGCCTGGAGGATAGATAGATAGATAGATAGATAGATAGATAGATAGATAGATAGATAGATAGATAGATAGATAGATAGATAGATAGAGCATTCAAACATAAAGGACGATAAAGAGATTATTTTATTATATTTAATATAAACATGGAGGATGCCTTGCAATATAGGAAGTTCCCCAGACTAAGCAATTACTATGTATCCCAGAATAGTCTAGTGATATCAGTAACTAACTGTGTGCTTCCAGCAACACAAAACGCTGGCAGAGATAGCTGCAATCTCTGAATGCATGAAATACTTACTCCGTCAGCATCAAATGCAGCTCCAAATCCATGTTCCCCTCCCTTCATAGCCTCCAAAAGCCCAGTGGCATATGTTAAGTTAGGGTCAGGATGCTGCCCACCGAAATCTTCAAGGGGGACACAGTTGACTGCAGAGTTGGCAGGTGCTCCTAATTCATCACACAAAATTCGTCGGACGTATGGACCCATTACTGGAAGAAAGATGACACAATGTGCATTCTTAACTAAGACAGTGCTTAGCGGCCGGTGACACAGTTCAACACATAGGCTTAATACTCATAACGTGTCGGAATTCAATTCTGCTGAGCTAACAAGATCTGTTATTTTTATATATGGACACCCAGGAGCCAAGCTCTAATAGCCATTTGCTTTCAATAGAATACCATTCTCTCAGCAGTCATTGGGTAGGTTCAAATTATCTCCTCATATCCTATACATATCTTTATTTTTTAATTATTTATTGAGAATGTTGTTTCTGTCCATCAAGCATAACTTCAAATGTTCAAGCACATTATCAAGAAACAACATTTATTAATTTACTAAAAGATATCATGTAATTCTGTTCTAAAGATTCTTTTGGGACATTTTAAAATGATGAAACAAGTAATATATTTATTTTATCATAAATATGCTATAAAGTACATTTTAATCTTGAGTAGTAAAAAATTTGTATTTGCAGAATAGTGATTCCATCCTTGTTCACATTTTGCTCGCAAATTGAAGACAGCTTCTGTTATACTGTAGCAATTTTCTGGTAAACATTTTTATTTTACTCATGTAAGAAAATATAAAAGAACAACAGTATGAAATACACATTCAAACAGTATGCAAAGATTGCTAGAGATGAAATGCACACCTAAGCCTTCCATGTGGAGAGAGCGTAAGTAAGTATCCTTTCACATAGCAATGTCCAAGATGTCTGGCTAGTGATTGGACTGATCACACAGATGTCTATTGTTCCTAAAATTCTCTACTGACAGTTTCAAACAAGATCTCAAAAAGCTCCATATCTCAAAAAGCTCCAAACTGACCTACTTAACTATATTTGGAGCTATAAACACCATAGACTCTCCAAGGGGCGCTCATTTGTACACTCCGTTCGCTAGGTGAGCTTGGGGCCCCGGACATATTGAAGTATTACTTGGCAGCCCCCTTAAGACATCTGGCTTCTTGGATTACATTCTGGTCATATGACTATTGGACAGAGTTGGAGAAATTGTGGATGGCCCCAGTACACCCTAACCCTCTGCTGTGGAGCTCAGAGTGAATGATCTTCTATGCTAGGCTATTGGCCCCAATGCACTTTACCAGACATATGTGGAGGCGATGTAAGAATCGCTTCAGCTTGACTACACCTAAATCATTGTTGACATCCTTTTTGTGCACTCTGAACCTTCCAGACAGTCTTTGTGGCTGCAGGATCCATCCATGGGGGTAAATGCTCATGTTTTCAATTTATAGACATAGCTCACAGGTTTACATATTCAAATCCAGCACTTTGCCCAATCCTTTACCAAAGACCTTATGTTCGACCAGCTGACCCACTTTGAGAAGATTTGTAGGGAAGGACCCTCTTGGAAGGCGATGATTTTAGATATATTTCAACTGTTGTGTGTGTTCCCTGAGGACCCCTTTCCCAAACACCAATGTATGCTGAATTGGGAATGCATATTAGGACGTGAACTCACGGTGGCCATATGGTGGATGCTTTGTTTCCAGCTCATATAAGCTCTATCTGTATTATGTTCTGGTATTATACGCCGGAGGTTTTGCACTTTATTTATCCTGCTACTAGTAACCAGTGCTGGCGCTGTGATTCTGCTGTTGACTCGTATCGCCGCCTGTGGACCTGCCCTGGCATCTCGCCCTTCTGGAGGGAAGCTAATGCTTTCTAAATTGACTGAAATATTGCTCCCATGAGATCCAGTAACCAGAAACAACTGGAACTGGTGTATCATATCCTCACAGCTGCATGTTGTTTGATCACTACTAGGTGGATAAATATTTCTTCTCCCTCTTTTTCTGATCTTTTGCAAGGGGGTCCTGGAGGTCAGGTTGATGTGACATCTTACGACTAGATTAGGCAATGGACTGGGTAAATTCAATGCTATATGGGGTGCCTGGGACGTATCTGCTCCAGTCTACCTGATAACCCAGCCCTCCTTACCATCTTGTCTTGAATTGTATTGTGGTTGTAATGTCTTCCTTATATTGTAAAGTGCTGTGCAAAATGTTGGCGCTATATACATCCTGTATAATAATAATAATATTAACCCCTTTTTGATAATGGCATTGTGATGCATTACTCTGGGAGGCTCTCTTCTTCCTTCCTTTGTTACTGTTTCCTATTTTTATTTTCTGTCTGCTTCCTGTCTACGTCTTCTTTCTTTGTCTTCCTAGTGGAGCATGTCCACATGGCCTATGCTATTACTAGTTTTTGGGGCCCTGAGATTCTAACCCCATTCTGCCAGTTATGTTCTTACCATAATGAAGGTCTTTGACTTTGTCTATCTACTCGATAAGATCTCTGAGAACCCCTGCGACTTTGATAAAACACTGGACTCTGCTACAGATTTTGTATGGAACTTGAGAAACCTTCTTTGGTTTTTGTTTTATATATACCCTGCCCAAGTGCTTTCTAATTAATTCTTGTACCACTTGTGGACTATCTTCTATATTATCTCTTTACTATGTGAAAACTTTAAATAAACATTTGTTTAGAAAAAAGTATCCTTGTTTTTATCAACACATTTTGAACCTGGAAAACAATGAAAGTAGTATACAACTCTCAAACTTTTTTCAATAATTAATCTAGATCAAACAAATATACATTTTCCAGCAAAGTTTTGAGTTACTTTTTTTGCCCAAAAATTTAGGATCATCATGTTTCGGCAAGAGCTACGTCTCTCAGCTCAGCCTCCCTGAATTTCCTGTCAGTACAAGATCACAAAGGACAGTGCAGACTCCAGCAACTGTTCATCTACTAGCTTGGAGGAGGAAGGAGAGGGGGCCACTGAGGAGGGAAGTAGCTTGATTTGCTGTGTCTGTGTGTTTGTGGAGACACACTGTTAGGATCCAGAGCGCCTCCAGGTGGCGCTGGAGCTGAGCCCTGCAGTTCCTGGGCTCACCTGCAGGATTCTCCAGGCAGCCAGGGGCTGCTAGGTGCCAGACCACCACTGGGTGGTGCTGGTACCTGCAGCTCCAGTGCTCACCTGTGGGTGTCTCCCAGCTGTCAGGAATCAGCCCATTAGGTAATACTCCTGGGAGAGTATTTAAACCCTCCCTGCAGTCTGGACCTTGGCTCAGGATTTCGTTGCTTTCCCCTGTTGTCTGAGTCCTCTGGCCTGAACCCTGAGAACCTGATATTTGCATGCTATTTTAGTACCCTGTTTCCTGTGTTACCCGGTTTCCTGTGTTACATTTTTGGTTTATGCCTGTTGTGGATTGTTTTAGTTAGCTTGCTAGGTTTATTAAAATATTTATATATACCATACTTACCTGGTCCGTGTGGTCACATGTGTTTGGTCTGCCTGTAAGGGTACCTGTGCAGGTGTGGGGTCACCTGCGCTGGGATCCCCTGACACACACACAGCTTACTATTACACACAAGGGTGACTGCATTGCACTCTGCTTGACAAAGGAGTCACTCTAAAAGAGGAAGTCAGGACCAGGGCTCAGGGGACCAGCGTATTCAACAGGAAACTAAAACCTAAACATCAAGGAGCAGCATCCATTGTAAGTGATTTCATCAGCATTTGAAATAGCTTATAATCCTTTTTACTATATTTATCACTTTAATGCTGCTGTGATGTATTCATGCAAATTATTACAACCTCAAACCTCTTGTTACAATTCCAAAAGTCTCTGTTACTATATGGAGTATATCCATCACATATATGTTACTATATGGAGTTACATCACATATATTATAACATATGCATAAAACATCCAAAGCAGCATAAACAAATATTGAGGTAAATGAAAAACATTAAATATTGAGGTAGGTGACACACCTAAGACCACTCCACTTTGAAAACTATAGGTACTGTATATTACATTACAATTGTTTTATGCAATGCGTATGGCTAGTGATTGGACTGTTTGTATTGATAACATCTACAACAAATTATCAGTCATTAAAGAATGATTTCATTCAGCAATTTAGAAAATCATTTACCCATTGCCCATTTTTTTGTATGTGCATTGTAACCTATTGTTTGTGTACCTAAACTATGGTGATTGCCATTTCTTTGAACTTTTTATAAGCTAACCTATGACTTTTTGTCAGAAAATGCCTTTCTCAGGGAAATTATAGGCAAATGTTTCTTTAAAATTACCCTCAGTCAGACCACAAAGCCTTTGGCACCAGAACAATTTCCTGATCCTCTATTATCCATAAACATTCCATACAAACATCGCATATCATAGCTAATCCAATTTCATCAGGTTCAGATGATTACCATTTGATATGCATGGACCCTTTTTCTTATAAAACACATTGTTTCCTTATAAAGCACAATGTCCCAGTAAAATGTATTTGTAATAATGCAATGCCAACATTTACTACATAGTATATGTACAGTATTTGTTCAGCAATAAGTGGACACATTTTGGCTGGAGTTTTACTTTAAGAAAAGCCATCAAATAAAAGGCATTGATGTACATGTATATTCAGAGGGGTTTATGTACAGAGTAGAGGTTGTTCAACTAACAAAGTAGTGGCTAGCTTTGCAAAGTATGTTCGCTTTGTTGGTTAGCAAACAAAGCGTGACTGTGTTCACTTTGGATACCCAATCACATGCTAGAAAACACTCTTTTTTAAATTTCCTTGCACATGAAGTAAGGGGGCATTTGAAGTTAACACAATGCCCCCTTAAAGCAGAACTCCAGGCAAATCAAATCAAAATCTATACGCTGTATAGAACATGATGACTCACAGGACCTTATTATTATTACATAGTATTTATATAGCGCCAACATTTTGCACAGCGCTTTGACCTTAGACTTCTGAAGCGGAGGGGGAGCGAGGCTGAAGGGACTGGTCTAAAAGCAAGCCAGGGTCGCGATTCAGGTGAGTATAATTTTTTTTTTTTTTAGCTCCCTAGGCAAAATGAGTACTTATTGTAACTTTTGCAGTGCAGGGGTAGCCCCACTGCAAGGGTTAAGATTTGATTTGCCCTGAGTTCTGCTTTAATTAACATTCACCTTCACTGTTAGTAAATCAACCCCAGCCAGTTTTAAAGATACTATAACTGATGGAACATGATTATCACCTATTCATGCTTGTTTTAAATTAGGGCTGCGGAAATTAACAATTGATCCTTCGATTAATCGTTAATTTTTTTGATCGATCAAAATTATTTTGATCGGAACTCACCTCTCCGCCGGCTTCCGGGTCTTCCGTTGGAGATCCGGTGACGTCACTGACTCCTCCTCCTTCCCTGAGTGGCTCTGTCGGCTAACGAAGGGAAGGGGGAGGGGTCCGGTGACATCGATGTCCGTGACATCACAGGACTCCTCCCCTTCTCTTCGTTAGCCTCCCCTTCCCTTCGTTGTGAGCCTTATTGTAACTGCAAAGTAATTGGATCTTCTATGTGCCTCATTTTATATGCTGCAAATCTTTCTCGTGCCCAGGCTGATATTTGGAATGTATAGACCCTCCATTCAGCAGTGCAATGGTTCACTGCTGAACCATTGCACTGGTTCAGCAGTTCCTGATCTGAATCATTGCACTGGTTCATTCTTCCTGATCTTTTCAGGAACAATGGATGACTGAATATCTATTTCTGGACTTAAAACTGCCTTTTATTATTAATTTTTTCCCCAACAATAAGTATCAATCACAGGGGCCCCAACAAGTGTCTGGTATCATAACTGTCCATTCGCAGCATTGGGGTCTAACAAAGTTGGTTAGACCCCACAGAGCCCTGGTTAGACCTCACAGAGCCCTGCTACCCTGGTGAGACCCCCTCGGAGCCCTGGTGAGTCCCCAGAGAGCCATGGTGAGACCCCATGGAGCCCTGGTGAGACCAGGGCTCTGTGGGGTCTTGCCAGGGCTCTGTGGGTCTAACAAGGCTGGTTAGAACCCACAGAGCCCTGCTACCCTGGTGAGGCCCCCTCAAAGCTCTGGTGAGACCCACCTCTGTATGTGCGTTATAATAAATCGAAATTAGTCGATTAATCGATTACAAAATGAATCAAACAGGAAAATTGTAATCATTACCAGCCCTATTTTAAAGGAATTGGGTGCCAACTGTCATTTCTATGGAGCACTGAAAACTTAAACAGACACCTCTCATTGATATATCTTAAAGAAAAAGTAAATTAGCCAGTTTGGATTTACCTGCATTATAGAATGTTTTTTTTTCTGGACTCATCGATGGACACTTTTTTTTCCTAAATAAAAGACTTGTCAAAGACTGTCTTGTGTTTTTTGTTAAAATAAAGGACTTTTTCACGGTGTGTGTTTATTTACTATTTTATTTACTATTTGTTCAATGAGTAGGGGTAACAACTACCCCTTACTCATTCACAAGGGGGGCGGCATTTGGGTGCCCCCTTTAAGAAAGGGGGCACCCAAATGCAGAAAAGCCCCACAGCCCGCAGACCTCCACAATCACCGGGCTAGGGTTGTGGGGAAGAAAAAGGCTGCATGCTTTACTAAATGTGCAGAATATAACTGCATATTAACATTAATAAGGAAGAAACACCAGAGATTATTGAACCAGGAAATAGCCCATTGCCTTATTAGATCATGAAGATATTTTTTTCACCAATTGCAGCAAATTGAACCATGCTTTATGAGGATTTTTGGATTTCTTCCTGATTAATTGTGGGTTATGTGAGCATAGGGTTCTGGATGTTTACTATTTATTCAACCTTTTTCCATACTAACTTTGTAACTATATAAATGAGTTCTAATAAATATGTACTACCATACATCTGTCAGGTGGCTAAACAGTTTAGAGGTTGGTTCATCGCCTAATATCCAACCATTGCCTGATGTCTCTGGTCATCACAAAACTACATTCTTTTTTTTTATTATTTTGTACCTGGTATTTTACTTCTGTTCTCATACAACAAAAGGATAACAGCTGGCTGGCAATACTGATGCCATTTTATTTGCCACATAATTTAAATACTATTGTATTCATTACAGCATCCTGAAGCATTAACCTTACCTCCATTCATGGCATCAATTCTTATCTTCAGTTGGTTGGGCCCAGTAAGCAAGCTTTTGATAGCATTAAAGTCAAAAATTGTTCTTAGTAAATTGAGGTATACCTCCACTGAATCAACTACTTCAACTAGAAAACATAAGAACATTGCAAGGAATAAAGAAATGTTTAAATACAAATTCTTAAAAGCACATGGAATACAAATAGCAACATCTACAGTATATGCAAAACTCTGTAATCCACAGAAACCATGTTTACTGTTGCCATATGTGATTGTTGGATGGTGCTATGCGCTAATGAACACTGCCCATTGATCAAACCCCATACATTCTCAATGACTTGTTAGATAAAGTATTTCCTAATTCCAATCCTCAGGGACTAATAACATATCATGTGTTTTCAGTCATCCAGGTTCAGTTAGTGGTGTTAATTAGTAACATTCCAGGCAAACACAAATTTTTTCTCATGGAAATCTGTAAATATAACTGTAAAAACTACTACTAATAGGAATTGAGGATTAGTTAAAGAAACATTGGACTGCTGTGTTTTTAAACTAGTAAACATGCTGAGAAGAACAGAGTCAACGTGCCACAGGCCCCATAAATGCAAGTATTTCAAAGAATATGCTTTCAATTATGAAACCCATAATAGTGTACAGTATGTATGGTATTCTTCCCATACTGGCAACTTTTTATATGTATTTATGGACTGTGGCAATTTATGTGTGCAGTACAGTCTTAGTTTTATATGAAACCCCTATATTTATTGCCATATATGATAATTGTGCATTGTTTGTACAATGTTACATTTTGCATTGAATTTCCTCAAGTTTGACTTAGAATAGTGGTTTCAGTATAGAAGAAAATATGATCTCACTTCTTGTTGTTTAAAAATGTCCATAAGAGAATAAAAAAATATCCAATGCATAGGTGCAAATCAGTTATTCCCTTTGCAAGGCAATTTTCACTTTTTAAAGAATCATAATCACACGCAAGAAAAATAAAAAAATGATTTTTGCTTGCACATGATTGGATGATGGAAGTCAGCAGAACTTCACCCCGCCTTGCAAAGTGGACAGCCTACTTAGTAAAGCAACCCTACATTGTATAGTAATTATTTAACTTCATCAATTTCAAAATGGTACAACCTACACAAAGAATGTCTGTACCTCTAAATGGCTTGAATTTATTCTCCAGGTCAAATTCTTGTCTTCCCACCCTTGAGAGGTCAACATGCAGGTCAGGACAAATAGCATATTCTTCTATAGTTTTACTGATTTGAAATATTTTGTCTGTTACAGCATCTGGAGCAGGACCTGAAATATAAAAAGTTAAACACAAGTATGTTAACAATATAGCATTAAAAAAAATACTAAGATACAGTATGTGTACAACATCTCTATCTAGAAACATCTGTTTGGAACTCTAAAAGCATGATTTAGTGGACTGTCGATATATGCTGTCAGCTACACACACGGAGTTGAAAAATGTGTATTAAAAAAGCAGCATTTAAAAAACATAATACGTCAAAATTCTTAGCACATGTAAGTCTTTTTGTGCAATGCAATATTCTGAGTATTGTAAGGAACTCATCTGCTTTCTGTATGAACAATCATAGATGTACTTTTCTCTACACCGTTTAATGTCAAATCTTGTAATAAAAAGAGGACACCAACATATTGGGAAAAAAGTAAATGTTACTTGCAGAGTCCCATAAGCCTGAGATATGACACTTTTAAGGCCCCCTGTGTATAATTTCTGCCACAAATACAAAGGAACGTGTCAGAAGAAATTCAGACGTTTTAGGAATATGAAGTCTACATTCCAGAGATCTGACACTTTAGTAAAGACCGCTAGCCAAAAATGGAAAATTCAGTATGAAGCAGGATTTCTATAGCAAGTATGTTTTTATTTACTTTTTCCATATATGCAGTCATGTGTTTCATCAGCTTACCACACAATATGCAATATTCATTCTCCATTTTGTATTAGGAAAATATGACCACCTGAGATTGTGAACCCAGATTGGTGGAGCAGCATAGTGTAAGAATAGTTTAGCAAATAAAAACCCTGTTATAGGTTTTGTTCACAGAAATAACAGTATTGAATTTTCAGTGGAGACTAGTGTCTTAAAAGTATAAAGAGCTAGTCCACATAAAACACTTTGTGGTGTATATATACAATACATATACAGTATATTATATACAGTTTTGCAGAGTCAAATACTGGCTTTTCAGTCGTACCATAGTTTCTGTTTTTTTTCTCTCTTACTTTGTAGTTTTATGTGTTTATCCACTCTTTTAGGTCCCAGCTAACTGATGAATTTCCCATATTGGACAGAAGCACAAGGAAAACAATGGGCATGTAAGAAGGTTTACTTTGAGGGCGTGTCTAATTAGAGGCAGATATGCTAGAAATCATTAATTTATGTTGTGTTTTCTTCTTTGTGTCATACCTCAAGAATGGTAGGTAAGATTTTATGTTTACATTGACTTGTAGAGCTCAAAAAAAAAAAGACTCACTAGATGAAAAGCTCCTTTAACCCCTTCATGACTGAGGCCCTTTTTTCAATTTTTGCACCCATGTTATATTCCACATTTTAGGCCTGAAAATGACGTAAAACCCCCAACATTATATATTTTCTGAATGCCAAGACCCTATAGAATAAAACGGTGGTAGTTGAAAATTTTTATGTTGCGCAATATTAGCGCAACTCCTTATTAAACCCCAAAATTTAGTGACAAATTTAATTAAATGCCCCAAAACACAACAAATTACCCATTTTTTTAATGAAATATAAAAGATGAGGTTACAACGAGTAAAACGATACCCAACATGCCCAGTTTACAGATTGCGTGCGACCGTGAAACGGCGAAAAACTGCAGTACCCCAAAAAGTCAATAAAAGACACTTTAAAAGCCCCCACAGGTCATCAATTTAGAGATACCCCAAAATACTGGCCCTAGAATTATTGCTCTCACTCCGGCGTGCGCGGCGATACCCAACATGTGTAGCGCGTTCGTCGTTTTCATGCGTAGGCGCACCCGACGCGTGTTTACGTGGCGACGCGCGTGCTCGCGGGGGCGGGGTACTTTTAAAATTTTTTTTTTTTATTATTAGATTTATTTTATTTCATTTTAATTTTAAAAACTGTTTTTTTTTTTTTTTTTACTTTACTTTGACTGCTATCACATGGGGGGGCTTGCAAGCCCCCCCATGTAATAGCAGATGGTGGTGACAGGTCCTCTTTAAGGTGATGCTGGGGGTCCAAAAGACCCTCAGTGTCACCTTTACACTGGAAATAAGCTATTGAAGTGCAGATCGCACTTCAATAGCTTATAGCTGGGCTGCAGGAGCCCAGAACTGACAGCCCAGGGACCGGAAGTGATGCAATCTGCATCGCTCCCGGTCCCATAGAACGGGGAGGGGATCGATGAACGGAAGTTCGTCGACCTCCTCCCCAGCTCCCCGCGGACACAAAGATCGCCGGTCCCGGGCCCGTAGGAGGGGCAACGGAGCCCGGGAAGCACGGCGGGGGTGTCCGGCGGGGGGGGCGGCCCCTTCTTCGGGACGCAGAAGCGATCTGGCGACAGGTAAGTCGCCAGGATCGCTTCTGTTGTAAAGCCGACAGTCGGCTCTACAAGTTTAAACAGACTCCCGGCGGCAAAAGTCGCCGGGAGTCTGTTTAAACAGCCCCGATGCTGGCGACGTACACTGTACGTCGTCAGTCACGAAGGGGTTAAACTGACCCAGTCACTAGTTCCATCAGCTACCCCCTGTAAAAAGGTTGTACACTTACCTGTCCAGCAGGCAGTGAGTGAATTCTTTGCTGACTTGCAGAGCTCCGAGTGTCGTTGTTATCCATCACTTTTGTGCGTATTTGATAGTGTGCCCCCTCTTATCCAGCCCCTACATCACTACTATGTTCTGTAGTAATGTCAAGGCTGGTGGGAGGAACGACAATGCCCATCAGATGACACACTATTCGTCACACTTGGAAGTTGCAGAAACCAGCCAGGGCTGGAGCTCAGGCAATTTTTACAGGGGTAGATGGAGAAAATATTTTATACTAGTGACATGGTGTGCTTTTATTTCCTCTTCTTTCTTTTTTATTTTTAGTTGCATATACACTTATAAACAAAAAACAGAGAAATATGAAAAATGTGCAGATAAGTCAATAGGATTGGTTGATATTTGTAGAGCATTGCAGGATTGCCAGATCTAGTCTAGAAATGAAACTAGATTATACATTTATACATACTCTTAGGATAAAACCTATACTAGTATGATATCTAACTCTTCCACCATCTAACCTTCTACTGTACCTTGTCTTGCATTAAGAAGCTCTAATGGCTTAATTTGACTCAGGGGAAAAAATAAATGTAAACTATCAGAAATTTAGAAAACAACTCAGAGTAACTAAAGGTAAAAGGATGTCACTCAATTTGTCCGAGTTTGATGGATAAGACAATGATCTCATATGTGCAGGAAAATCCAGGCAGACCTTGAGAAGATTGCATTTGAACAATCATGAAAGCCATGTCCAAGTCTGGGATGTCTGCCTTCTGAGTCCTACCTTTCTTCTATGTGCTGCATACACCTAAACAGGAACATTCACATGACCCAAAGATATCTGCAGACAGCTAGGTTACATCTTTGTGTCTAGTCGACTATGGATGTTCAATGTGTAACCAGCATTTATGCTAAACTCTCTTGTGTGTAGGTCACATTATTCCAAACATGTACATGTGTTTCTATAGCTTTATTATTACTCGAACTCTACTAATTTTTTTTTCTAAATAGCGCAAAGCAAGCATGGCAATGCATGAGCTGCATATCTTAATATAGTACTGAACTTTAGCATATAGACTGCAAACAAAATACTGCATACAGCTGCATATCAAATAAAATAAAAATCCTAACCCTAAGGTCCCTTTTGCATGGGTGCTCCATTGTAAGTCTATAGGCAGCTGTTTGTAAAAGGATGGGTGTCGTTTACACCCGGATACTCCCACTTCTGCCCAGGTCCAGATCCGTGCACGAATCCTCTTCTGATCAGCACGTGTGAAAGGGGCCTCAACATTAGGAAAGTACATGCAGCTATGCAATATCATTTAAGGACAACTATTGCAAAAATATTGTACTCTGTCCTCTGTATAAGGTTAATAGAAGTAATGATCAAATTCATTGTATATTCTTTTTTTCACAGGGCTTTTTAATATTTCTCTCTCCTGTGTACAAGCAACCCATACAAGCAGTTAGACATAAGATGTGAAATTGAATTTATTACCTCCATTAGCAACATTAAACTTGATTCCAAAGTCTCCATCAGGTCCTCCAGGATTGTGGCTAGCTGTCAAAACAATTCCACCAGTTGCCTTGATTTTCCGAATGATGCAAGACACAGCAGGGGTAGAGAGCAGTCCATTCTGACCAATAACTAATCGTCCAATCTAGATTTACAGAGGAAATGCAAAAGTAAGGACCAATAACACAGTTCTCCCAGCAGCACTGAAAAAAACACATACTGCAGTAAGTGTAACACCTTATCTGAGCTTTTAGATATAGTTCTTGCAGAGTGTCTGAATGTCCCCTTTACACATGTAAGCCAAGGTCCATACAGCAAATCTAAATCCATAGTTAGCTCTTTCATTTTCTACCCAATGTGTGTACTTTTACACGAATATTTGTGAACATTGTGAATGTACCTCCTTTACATAAAGCAACACTTGCATTTTATTGGTCACTTAACCTTACTAATTTCTTTAACAAGATAACTAAAAAGGAGTTAGAATGTTTTTCACAATATGGACTGTGGGGATCAGGTTGACCCTTTGCCTAGCAAACCTGCCATTAGAGACCATGATGGTGACAAGAAGGATTCCATTGGGGATGGATGGCCTCTGAGCCTGAGGCAACTAGCTGACAACAATGGCATGATGCATGGTTCTTGTTTTTAGAGCTACAAATTTATTACCAATATTACATTTAAAGATGATTACTTTTGTAGTCATTCCATTGGGCCCTGCTATGAAACCAAATTGTTCAAAGCTTCTGAAAGGTAAGGTAAATTAAAATGTTATCAAACTATGCTCTGCACCTAGTTTATGGCAAATTTTACCAGGGAGAGCTGTGAGTCACCATTTTTTTAATTTTCGCACATTATTTTCTTTTTCAATGTTCGATTTGGTTCTGAAAATAAAAAAGCATCTCAGACTGCAAAAGTGACCTGAATGATGCCTACCGAAGGGAGGTTCTCAGGGTACCCTTGATTCCCTGTGTAATGATGCAAAGAGGGATGCTGATATCAATGCGTCAGTGTCACTCTGCATGTTTGCAGGCTGCCCACTGCCATGAGAAGACTAAAGAGGATCCAGCAGCTCACATGACTGGTCTGTCTTTGGTTAAGTGTCACAACAAGATAAAGCTGGGGTAGGGGGGTGTCTGATTAGGGGGACTGAGGACTGGATCCACAGTTGAGCTTAACATAAAGTCCTTAGGTGGAATCATAGAAGATGAGACTCTCAAGGGTCACTTTATCTGTAAAGACATGTAGTTATAATGTCTTAGTCTACTCTTCTCTTGTGTACTTATTACAACAGTGCACAACTATGTATGGCAAATATTCAGACGCTAATACACAACTGTCAAACCGACTTACAGTACCACTTGTTAAATTGGATTAGTTTAACACAGACTGGGCAGATACAAGTATATAAATTGCAAGAGGTTGCACAGTTTAGTTTCGTTAGTTAGGACTTCACTTAGTAAGATTTAACAAAATAAATAGTGAGAAGGTTTGAAAAACAGGTACATCCAAATGATTTCTCTCCTTAAAGTGCAACTTGACACCAGAAATAAAAGTTTGGAAACAATTGGGTTTTCTTTTATTGTAGAAGAGACATGTTCACTTGTCTGCTCACATGCAGCTCAGTTACAATTTTAGCATCTGCCAAGATGTATCAACTCCTGCACATCCCAGCATGGCCAAGAAGCTGAAAATGTCATATCCAGAAGAAGACTAGGCAAAGATGTTTCAGCAGCCAGCCAGGAAGATTGAGTATGTTGCATCACTGAAGGGGTGAGTATACAGTAGTTCTGCTTTAATATATGCATTAAGATTAATCCAATCAGTAGAAACCGTACAATTCATAAATTATAATTGCCTGCCTAGATTCGTAAATTGTTGGATTCTCAATAGAGCCTAGAGATCCACATGCACATATTTAGGATAATCAAAAAATGATCATTTGATCATCACAAATTAACTGTCTTGGGCATGGGAAGATGGGAACTGTCTATTTATACAATTATCCTTATGATGGCAGTACTTGCTAAGATTCTGTGCTGGAGAATTGGAGCTCTGGAGGTTTGCTCCCCTTGCTGCTTGTTGAATGTGAAGTTAAAGCTAAAGACATGAGAGGAGTAGATGCACTAACAAGAGGAGATCACCAGAAAAGTGGAATGGCTCTAGATTCTTGATGGTGTAGCCCTGATTCGGTGGGGGGGGTCATGTGAGATGACCGTCCCCAATCATCTACCGCTGCCAACCTGTAGGTAACTTGAGAACCCTGAGCCTCCTCTAAGTGGGAGTAAGGGACTGTAACATAACTGTAATGGCAGTGCCTCCACCCAGCTGGGCCTTGTGGTGTACAAGTGGGACCCCCAGTTGAGAATTACCTGGTCCCTGGGCATATTCTCCTGTATTTACAACTCTGGTAAGTAGTGGATAAGAGTAATAAACTTCAGTCACCTGGAATATATTTTAAGTAGTTTTATTTTGCACGTGCATGGAGAATAAAGGTAGAAGAATGAGGGAATACAGGATACCCTTTTTGGTATGACAAAGCATATTCTTCTGGTCCTCTATATAGATGTATATCTTTCTGGTTCCTTCTTCTATAAAACTATACTGGCTGGACACATACCATGTAAATCTGGCTTCTTGTAACTGAGGTTCTAGTGTGTGCTCAGTCATTACATCAAGGCAGGACAGCAGTGGAAGGTTCTAGTGTTTGCTTCCAAAACTCAGTCTGTTACTCACCATCTCTGTGGGGGACACCTGCAGCTTGCTTCCTTTAGGCCAGGGTAACACTGAATTGCAGCCAGCATCCTGCAGACACCTCCCAGACTGGGAGATCCTCACAGCTTCCATACCCCTAGGCCCACAGGCCTGGGGCCTAGTTTAGTGAATCACTGTGGCATCCTCACAGGGGAACACCCTGGAGGGAAAGAGACTGTGCTAGGAAGTGCCTCAGATATTTAATAGCTCTCCCAGCATTCACAGCAGACTCCCAGGACCTACTGATTGGCTAGGCATTAAACATTCTTCAAGTGGAGTGTTATCTCTAGCACACCTTACTGGTGGACACACAACACAGCATGTGACTAAGAATAATCAATGCACACTTAGAGAACACTAGCCAGCACAGCTAAGCTGAATAATCTACCTTAACAGATCACTATAGTATAGGAGGAGACTTTGGAAAAATTCTAGATCCCTACACCAGTATCATGTCAAACTCTTGTCAATACACATCTTGTCCATACAGCCTATTAACTATAGTGGTGTATTTGTTCAGGTCCCACTAGGCACAACCTAAGAGCTCTCTTTTGTGCAGGTTTAGTCACTACAGTTACTACTATATTAAAACTAAATCCTCCAAAAACATAGAATGGTGTAACTGCAAGCAGATCTAGAAATGTTGTCATCCTCGTCACCAATATGTAGGTTATGACACAGGTAACTAAGTCAAGCAAGAATCCCATGCAACCACACTTTGCACAATGGTGATTAATGCAAATATAACAATGAATAGTACTCACTGTTTAACCTATTGGTAACCAAGGGAATTCCCCTTGTATGAATAGAGATAAACAGATTGATTTTGGCAAAATTGTTTTCCAATCTGGGAATGTCCTGTAATAGAAGACCGTAAATACGGTATGGTACCTTTCCTGCTGCTTGAGCTGCTGAACAATGCACTATTCCACAAGATTGGTCCTTTGAAATCCAGTAGCAAACTGACACTTCTGGGAGTGTCAATCTCCTGGATCCCCCACAGCTCTCACTGGTTTCTCCCAGCACTACTTTGTCACTAAGGGACCCAGTGGTGACATGAAGGTCAGCAGGAGGAACCAGTGAGGGCTGTAAAGCACTCCAATAACTGTAAGTTTCCCATTGGAATTTGGTGCCATTCATATGGGACTAGACCAGTGTGCGATGCTGCGGGCAAAAGGAAAGGTGAGTACTTACTATTCTCTTTTTAAAGATATTCATTGTGGCAGATTTGAAAACTAATGACAGGGTTCCTTTAACCCTAACATTTAAAACAAGCATGATCACAGGGCATAGTTTATCAACAAAGTCATGTGAACACCATATCAGCACTGGATCACATGGCTTTGTTGACACTGAGGAACAGGAATGGACCCAAACCCTAAAGCACCCAAGTATGACCACTGGGCTTTGATTTTCAACAATACAATGTGATCACTATGTCAGTGCTGATATGGCGAATTTTGCATGATACAATTTCACTGAAATGTTTATGATTTTGACCGAATTTTGACTATGCAAAAACTCCCTATCTAACTCAACCTTAAAGTCTAACATGGAGCAAAGCACAAAAGAAAATGCTTTATGCTGGCATGTTTTTTCAACAGAATATTATAATATTTTAATGGATACTTTAACCTTTAGGATTTCTTTAATGCCAATATAAACATGAAGACAAAAGTTTAAAGAAATGTAATTTGGAAAATATTTTGCACAGGTTCCATTAAGTAACCATGTCACACTTCCTGTGATAATCTTTATTTAAAGTAGTAACATTTGAAAACTACAATCCCAGGAAATTATACCAGTATAGTTTCTCTTGTTAAAAAGGAAAACTGTACACAATGTTGTAAAGGGGGAGGAATGGGGGGGGGTGATGGGGGGGCTAAGCCCAGAATTAACATAGGTTCTATTGCTCCCCCAATTTATTCAAAACTGAAGGTTTGGCTGAAGTGATACTTTAAGCTCAATAATTTTTTGGTTTAAAAATACATAATAAAAAAAAAAAATGTATGGTCTCCATTGTCCAGACCATAGCTTGCTTTGTTTCCTACAGCTGTTCGGAAGGTATAAAGTCTTGCCAACCATTTACCAACCATTCTGAAAAAACTTTATGTCATGTAAAGGGAACTCTGGACGTGTTTTTTTATATAAACTACTATACACACATGCAAATGTTATAGGTACATGCACTCAACAGCACTTTAGAAACCATATACGAATTCTAGTTCCAAAGAGACTATTGAGGTAAGCTGAAGTCTGTATATGGGAAAGTCATGAAGACAACAGCATGGGATTCCAACAGTTGAAACTTTGCTTTATTCTTGGCACATTATGAGTTTACTGTTGAAATTAATACACTGGGGGTGATTTACTAACCTAAACACGCGTTTT